AACGAGCATTCGTAAGCAGAGGGGTTGTAATCTAATCACCAGTTATTATAACGGGAATAAGATGGAAATGACACCACCTATTAAACTAGTAGTAGCCACACTTCCAATAAAAATAAACGTATTTACTATTATACTCGTACTTAAAAGTCTTAAACCAATGACGTAGTTGAAGGATGACAATTAATTCATTTATTTTTGCCGGTATACTTTCGGACATCAGTTTCCTATTTTCTAATAATAAAATTTACTCATAAAAAATTCACGTAGAATACTACAGATCACCAGTTAAAAAAAATTGAAATACCATTGTTAAAAAATATTATTTACTCCTAGAATGATAGCTTCATATAAAAAGGCAGAGGGAAATGGAATACTCAATTTGTTACTCTTTTTACTTAACTTTTAGAGGGAAGGAGCTGCATAGAATTTTGCTTACGATAAGCCAGATGAGAATATTCCTAAGATAATTTCTGAGATAATAGCTTGATACAGTTATATTGAATCATTAAACGTTAAAAGGCAAAATCTATTAGTGGGTAATTCGTTCATTTTCCCCCAACAATAGTTGACTAATGATAAAAGGACAATCCATCATTATACTGTGCAACAGTAAGAGTGACAGATTGTAAGGTGGACTGATAATAGTATCAAATTGGTCTCCAATCTCCATGTATTAAAAGCAGCTAATTGACTAAATAAATTCATGATTGCATTAATATATTTCTGCTCTAATCAAAACAGCAATACTTAGCTGGCTTGTCTGAATTATCCACGTTCAAGAAATGATTACCCAGTTGTTAATTGATTAACAATTTTAGATATGTGACATATGTCAAATGGCCACTTTGTCACGCCATCAGACTATTTAGAGCCCTTTTGGATTAGCCGATCATAAATAACTGATAAATTTAAAGTGCTGAAAAAAAAATTAAGTGCTAAAACTGATTTTTAAAATAAGCATTTACGTTTTTGGATAGAAGTTCTGAAACTGATAATAATAAGCAATTGATGCGTTCAATTAAAAAGTGCCAATAAGATTTTTTGTTTTGTTAAAATAACTAAAATACCCATGATTTTTTTCAAAAGATTATAAATTAAAAAAATTCTTTGTAAAGAAAAGAATTAATAACGTATATGGAACGAAGAGAAAGTCAAGAAATATATTTTGGAAGAAGTATCTTGTAAATTAGAAAATATTATTAAGAAAAAACTAATAAAAGTGTTGGTCAAACTAAAAGTACTTATAAGCTGAAAAGCCATAAGTTGGGGGTGGGCCGCTAATGACTTATAATTGATTTTAGCTTATAAGCACCTTGGGTGTTTACCAAACGCGTAAATAAGTCAAAAAGTGCTAATAAATCAGCTTATAAGCAAACACCCTCTTAGTCCTATTCCACAGCCTAATAGAACGGTGCAAGGGTAAAAGTTAGCTACATAAAGAAAAACAACAAATTATGTATCTTTCAAATATACATTTATGACTTAACCATAACTAAAAGATACGTATTCATACTTTAATTTATAACTATGAAAGTTAAATTGTCTAATTGACAGTAAACATCAATATTTTCTGGTTACATCACCTATAAGTTCGACCTATTCCTTCGCCTTCCCACTCACCCATTCCTGACATTCTCAAGAACTGAAACATCAATGAAACAAATATTCTGAACTCCAGCTTTAAGGCATTAGGATTGTACCCTTTAGGTATTCTGACCAAGTAGCAATCTTACTTGAGAACCTACAGAAGGTTTAGTATTAAAACCATTTAAAGAAACTACTCTGACTAATAAATGGCAGTGGCAAAACCAGAACAAAAGACACCTTCCAATGTATATTTACCACAGGTAGTAAGCCTATTTGGTTTCAGGCAGGAGAAGGAAAAGGTAAAGGAAATAGAAAATTGTTCACTTACTTCACTTAGACTGAGTATAGAAGATTTACTTCCAATCATTTAATACTGTTAGAAAGGAAGTAAAAATGAGACACTTTCTCCTTCCCGCCGGCTTCTAGATGGTTTCGAAAAACTGTGGGGTCACTACTTTTCCTTCAGTCCTCTTTTACTTCTTACCACATGAGGAAAATGATGCTTCCCTCTCTATGTATTTCCAGTTTTCCACTCATTCAACCCCTCTTTACACCTCAAACCAAAAATGTTATTAGCCCGCAGAAGAATGGTATCAAAGAGAATCTCGTCAATAATGAATCATCAAAGTACATCAGTGCCTTGACGACATAGCATCTCTATAAAACATAAACAGATATGAACAGAAGTTGCAACCACCAAATATAATTATGACTTTTGGGCACACTTTCCGGAACAACTTTCTCTCATGAAAGTTTAGAGAAGGAAGTCTGGAAAGCCGTATTATATCAAATTAGCCTCCACTTTGCATTGAGAACTGAGGCACTCGGCCTAGTGGAATGATTAGATCTTTCAAGATCTCATATTCTGCTGCGCTTATCTGAGCACCATCAAGCACCTGTTTAGCCAGCCAAAGGGAACAAAAGAACTTCAGTCCAACCCATACTCACAGTACATAGTCAAGAAACTACTAACATCTCATGCCGGAAACTCTGAAATCCTTTCCTATGATTTTAGTTTTCGTACAACACGATAAGCAGTCATTATTTACTCCTAACAAGGTAAGTTAATATTCTACTACTAAGTAGAGAAGCAGCACCCAGGATCATTCTCTGAAATATTCAAGTTCAACTTAGTGATAGCTGTGCTACCATTACAACATAGGCATTTATGTCCTTTTATGTAATCTAGAAAGTGGCAAACCTAGTGAAGATTAGGAAGAAACAACTAGACCTTGGGAAGGGGGGTAGCAGAGAAGAAAAGTTAAGAGTGCAAAAAGGAGAACAAAATTGCGTGACAGCAACCAAAGTACAGCTTTGGAAGATGTCAAACTAACATTACAATCAAAACAATATACTACATATGAAACAGAACATGAGAACGTAGAAGCGTATAATCCCAGAATTCTACCTTTGGAAGCAAAGTCCTTCTGCCTGTCATATATGGAGTCAGTACAGGTATCCTACATATGGAAAGAGCATCCAGAAACAGAAGAACAATTAGTTGCCACTGCTTCATCCTGAATGCAGGGAGTGGATCCACAAAAGACATTGTATCTATCAAGAGAACCTGCACATGTCAAACGAAGAAGACATGTGATGATTACAACATTAATCGTGACACGCAATGATATTCTTAAACCACCAATACCCATCATCTACCCAACTACGCATCACAGCCCACAGGAATATGTGAGTAGATAACCCCCTACACGCATCAAAGAACCTCCTATAGCTTTGAAAATAAACATCAAACATCATTAAAAGTATGACGCAAATGAAAATACTAAATCTCACAAGCTCACTTTCAGCAACTTCAAGAGTCATAGCCAACTTTTCCCATTAATTTGTTTGTAGAAACAAATTCTGTCCCATTACCACCACCGGCCATACTGCTCCGGAAAATCTTTCCATCATAATGACTGGGTGGTTCTTGTACTGACTCCCTCCTGAACCCCGTCACAGAATGTCTATGTGTCTGTGGGTGAGTAAAAAAATAAGCCATAAAATTTGAACTTTCAGGTACCCTAGACAATCCTTTAAAAGCTTCCTGCATTCTACAACTTCATGCAATGCACACTACTAATAGCCAACATACATAAAGCATATGTAAAGTATCCCCTACTAACAAATGAAGTCCTAACAAACAAAACCATGAGATTAAAATTGCTTCCTAATACCAAACCAGATCAAAAAACTAAATTGGGTCCTAACTGCACAAAATAAAACACTTAAACTCTCCTCACAGCATGCAGAAGTCATTGACTTGACTACTTCCACAATTCTGCTAAAATGGCTTGGGAGGGGGAAGGTTACTATCTGATAGTGTAAACATACCAGTCCTTGTTCTAAAACTGATATTGGTACAGGCAGCCTAAGGTCAGCAACCAATCCCGGTAATGCTCGAGCAAGACACCTAGCAAGAGTCTGCTTGATCTCAGTTGACCGGCCATCAGATAACACAATTTTGCGAGGATATTCACTTCCATTGACAGACAAATACTCCTCATTAAAGCTTTCATCATTGCCATATATGAATGACAAGGACGATGATGATATCCATGTGAAGAGAGAATTAAACATCGTAGAGAAAGGTGACAGCTGAAGAAAATTAGAAAACACACAGAAACCAAAAAAGGTTAAAAAGGGAAAAGGGGGTTTCTTGGGTGNAAGTGTAGAAGGTTTGATAAGCAACTTACATTCAAATTAAACCCCTCTGGTGGACTATCATACCAAGAGTCCTCTGATTCAAAAACATCATAATTTGGCACCCCTGGTTTTCTTGGCCATTTTAAAGGAGCTGGTTCTATATCAAGCACCTCATCGTTCTCCTTAAGTACTGCTTCATCCACTTCTTTTGGAGGTGGTAATATTATAATCCCGGCAGTGGACACTAAAAATCACATGCACAGCAGAACTCAAAAGCTATTAGATCCAAAGAGTGTATGACTTACACATAAAATCTCCATTAATATTCCTAATATGGAGAGTCAATGAAATTGTCATACCAGCATCAGGGACATCAGAACCTGAGGCAACAGCCTCTGCTGCTTGTTTTAGTGCTGCTGCACATGCTTCTGCAGATTCAAATCGATATGAATCATCATCCTCTTCCATGTTTGTAGGGCCTGATTCCCTATTAGCTTGATCCCCTTTTTCTGATATTTCGGATGAACTCTCCGTTAATTTTCCAGTGCCATTATCAACATTTTCATCAGCCCAAGTAACTGAACGAGCCATTTTCTTGTACTTTGAGGATTTTAGAGAAGATCTGAGTGATTGTTTTTCACGTGCATCATCTGATGCATATTCTCTTCCAGCATCAGACATATTTAGTACCTCAAGACTTTTGTTCTTGACATCATGTTGGCAAGGACCAGAAGACACTTCTCCAGTGTTAAATTTATCGACCTTATAACTTCTATTATTCGAATCTGTCTTTTCTGTTTCTTCTCCAGAATGCAACTGCAAGGCATCAACTTGCTTCCCCAATATAGAAACATCAACATCCCTAACTTCATAGCTTGTTCTTGTTTGTGCTTCTTTAACCTTTTTACTTGAGACAGCATTTACAGGTGCTGGTAACTTTGAAATGCTATAACCATCTTGAGTTATTATAGTGCTGGAAAAGTCCATCTCATGTAGTATCATGTTTTTCTCATTTTGGAGTTTGGCCTGCTTATTCTTGGAACCTGACAAATTAAAAGTATTTGTCTTGATCACCAAAGGCATACATTGATTAGCTAGAATATGAAGTCTCTTATTCTAATATTTCTAATTGAAGTGACTCCAGCAAGCATAAGCATGTAGGTTCTTTTCTCTGCTAACTACATATGCACATTTAGATCATTAAAGTTTTTTCTAGATTTCAAATGTAGTGAGTCCAGCAAGCATAAGTGTGTAGGTACTTTTCTCTGTTAACTACATATGCGCATTTAGATCATTGAAGTTTTTTTGCTAAAAGATCATTGAAGTTCTCGTACTTTTCTTAATGTTGTTCAACAGTGCTGGCTTCAAATTTCGTTCTCTCTGGGGAACATAGCCTTCAATCGCGTCAGATGGACCCATCCACTCTTCCATTGAAACTTCACCACCCTTTACATCCACCTTTTCCTGAATCTTCAACTTGGATAATCCTAGATCTCCACTTTCCTTCACATCCTCTGTGGAATGCAAATGCAATCCCACAAATAGCTTCAAGACTTCATTAAGTTTTGCTGTATTTAAAGTAGAGCTTCTCTCGTCTTGCAAGCTACGGGCAAATGCTCCACTGTTGACAGCACAGTTTGTTGAACAGTACATGTATGTTTCATGAAGATCATAAACTTTATGCTCCTTCAATGATATCCGGTAATGTCCATTCCTAGGCCTTTCAGAAGGCAGAGAGTTGCTGCAAAGAGGATAACCACACATGTTTGCTATTGATCGTTCAGTTACTACATCCTGATAATCTCTCCGAGACAGCAAAGACCCAGCAGCAAAGAGTTGGTTTTCATCTTTAATGCCTTCAAGAAGATAGAGTTGCAGCTTGTGGATAGCATCTTTAACAGCGATGACTTCTTCATTTGCCATCAGAGAACTCTTCCCAAGTACTGATAACAAGCAAAATTTCACTCATAAGTTCACAAAATACATGACAAGAAATAGATATTGAAAATGAATCTCACCCATTATGCAAGTTACAAACCATAAAAGTCCATGGACACCATAGCATATATGAGAACATCTAATATAGCATTTAATACCTTATACCAAAAAGGCTAACTTATTTGGCTAAATTACTAGATTGTGCAAAACAAAACAAAATCTAGTCCGAAAATAATAACATTCTACCAGCAATCTTTTTTTTTGTGGCTAAATTGCCAGATAGCCCCTCAAAGATGGCACAATTTGTCAGCTAGACATACAAACTTAGATAATGATCAAATAGAGACTTTAGTTTTGTAGGTAACTTAGCTAATGATCAAATAGACACTTCTGTTTGGCGCAGCTGTGTCCCGTAAACAGATGCGCGTGAGAATGACTTAAATTAGGCTTTTCTCTATTATTTTTCCTCAAAATGTATTTAATTTTTTTTTTTACTTTGAAACATATAATCCATGTGTCCCCAATTTCACCTTCCTCCTTGTGCACTAATTTTTCTACGGAAACAAGCCCCTGCCTATTTCAAAGATCAAACTACCGTCTTGAATAAAATGCCTACTGTTCACATTGCCACATGGAAATTTTAACACTAACCCATAAAGAATTTAACAGCATATGAAGCCAACTTGCCCACAGTTTAAACAACCATAGATCTTTTCCAACTTAATCATAAAGTAACTTGTGAAACACCAGAAGCTTGAAACCTTTTCTTTTAGTTTCAACAGAAACTGGGATAAACAAATTAAAATAAACAGACTTCCTAAAAAATTACCGATGTATGCATTTGAATTTATGAATATGTAACGTCATCATATTAGGAACTTGGACTACATCATTGTAGGACCAAATACACAAAAACGAAGAACTAAAAAGAAACTGGCTCGACCCAAAGCCCTGTTGAATTTCGCTCGAGGATTTTTAAGAACTCTATGCAAGCTGTGGAGTAGATTGTTTTGACCTTGAACTGAATCCGATATCGGTGAGAACATTTGACAGTTACAATCAGTATTCAACGGGGTAACAGCTAAGGTACTAGGACTCTTATCGGAGAGCCATTAAATTCTTCCAAGCCAATAAATTATAGTTAGGGTTCCTTGAAATAAGGAAATTGAAGGAGTGTATTTCCTTCTTGGCACTCAAATTAGGGCGTGCAGGTTATACCTTATGCGGGACGGTTTGCGGGTTCAAGCTATTAGCGACATGTGCAATTATAAAAAGTTGAAGCCATATTGTGGCCTAAAGCTAACCATCCTTTCTTCCACTTCAAATTTCTAAACTTACCTTTTTTGTTTGAAATGAAGGATCGAATTTATTACTTGTAATAATTTGATCAATAGAAACAGAGATATATACCTTAGAAATAATATCAGACCCAAGTTAGAGGCGCGATTATTTTACCTCAGAGCCAGAGTCGAGTTACAGACTTTGAATTGTTGTCGATTTGGCAAGGCAACGCTTACATTAGTAGTACTCCAGTTAGTAAAAGGAGAACCTTAACGCTGTGTTTTTTGGAATTGAAATTTACACTTGCACCCTATTGTATTGCGTCTTTTCTGTTTTTTTCTCTTTGATTTATCCTTAACTAATCTCCTTATTTTCCTGGGAAAAGGTTAGTGTTAGATTTTGAGACAAATGCCATTTACTCTAAAGGGGGAAAATACAAATATCATGTTGTTTACCATAAAACGGTACAGTTGAATTTGTAACGTGGTTTTATAGACATGTGGGTTAAAATGATCCGAGAAAATAAAATAACAAAGAACAAAAGTGAATACAATTAAAATAATTGAAGAAAAGACAAGTCTGGGCCTTGAATTGAATTTCTCCAAGAACAAGAACAATGCCGAAAACTAAGTATTGGTAAAATAAAGTTTTGCAGAATAAGAGAGTAGTATTAACCTTTTTTCATACAAGTATTTCATGATCTCTTACAATAACATGGAAGTCTCTATTTATACTAGAGCTACGGGTGCATGATTACAAATCATGCCCCCTTAATTACCAATATTAATGCTACAAGGTACTTCCTCTGATCCACAATAAGTGACCAATTTGCCTTGGGCACACCCATTAAGGAAATACTAAATTATAGACAAAAATAGTTAGTGTGACTAAACTATCCTTAATTAAATGTTGCAGCATAATTTAATGTGAGAAGTAAAAGATTTTTTAGTGATACGTACATAAAGGTAATTTTGGAAAAACAAATTAAATTTTTTCTTGATTATATAAATGGACACTTATTTTGGACCAAAATAAAAAGACATATTGGTCACTTATTGTGGACCGGAGGGAGTAATTAAAAGGTGATAAATAATAATAAAGGCTAATAAAGGCCTAAGGAATCTTGGGGTCTTCTGTAGCGGTCACATCTTGAATTGCTTCTTATTCGGCCACAAGTTTGTATTTGGTGCCACCATGGTTGAGTCACCACTGACTGGTCATTCTTGACACGTGTCGCTTCCTAATTCATCCAACTCTTGAGGCAAGTTTTTACCATATACAGAGTCCCCCACTTTCCGGTTACTCACTGAGAGTGTGGTGTGACCGGGAAGTGGGAAATTTTATCCTTTCTACCCTTGCCACCGATGTGGTCCCCCGAGTTCTCTAAAATTACAGAATGCTAGAACTACTATCTAAAAGTTTTCTATATCTTCAACTTAGTTCTAGTAAGTGAAAATACATGTAAGCTATTTTATATGTAAGAATAATATGATTATACAACAAAGAAGCAAGAATCTAACATTCAGTGAGAAAGCTATACTGATAAAAGGTAACTTAACAATAAAATAGGATTAATCTGCCTTAAAAAAATTAGCTATACCTATCAAATGGTTTACGATTAACGTCAATCCCTTTAACTTCTTCAGCAGCTGTATTTGATCCCTCAGCTACCTACCAAACCGAAATAATAGTATTAGGTGAATATTAGCTCGGAATAATATAACAATTCTAATACAACAATGCACACATAAGTCACAAGATACTCCTTTTGGAAAACACAAACATACTTCAGTTTTTTTTTCTTATCTCATCTTCAGCATTAAATTCAATTTTTAACAGGTCATTTCAGTATGATAGTTTTTCTAAAACATAAAGAAACTCCCATAATAAAGTCAAAAATAGTTCTAGGAAACAAAACGAGTCAAAAATACGAAAAAAATAAAGAAATAAAAAGCTGCATTTCAATCTGTGGAAACTCCAATAAGAGAGAATATATCTGGGAATATAGAGTTTCAGAAAAGTTTAAACACTTAGTTTAAAAAATTAGAAGCATCAAACAACAACCAAAAATATCAAAATTATGTACATGCAATATGAGTACAATCCAATACCAAACAAAATAGCAAAAACTAAAACAAATATCAAACCCAACTGAAAAGAAAAATAACAAAACATAGATTCGAGAATTAAAGATATGAAAATCACTAGACTCCCAAACACGCATGAACCATACCAAATAGAAAAGAAAAGATTTGATCTAGCAACGATTTCTCGCTGTCGATTTGAACCCTAAGAAACAGAATTATCAATATTTTAGGAATGGTTTAAATTTTAACCAAATTCTGAACCCTAGCAACAATTGGGGAGCGAGAATTACCAGTTAACCGAGGAAATCCAAAACTTGGACGAATTAACAGTCTAGCTAGTGAGAGTAGAGAGGCGAGAGACGTATCGAGCCAGTTTAAGATTGAGGAAGTAGAGATTTGAGACAGAGGGAGTAATATATATATTGTCCTTCCCCCTTATCAAAATTTGTATTTTTTTATAATTAATTTCACTTTTATAATTCAATTTCATACATAATAATTAATTTAATGAAATTTTTTATTTGTGTTGTGCTTAATCTGCTCATACAAATATTGCATTTAATGAATTTTTTTATTGTTCGTGCACTTTATAACTTTTACTTCCAAATAACCAAAGAAATACAAACAAAAAGGTAACTAGAAAACCAAAGAAAAGGTCTACTAAAGTACTACAAAATATTATCAAATAGGGAAAAATGGGAAAGTAAATGAAAAATATTGCGAAGAAAAAAGGAATGGCAAGGTTTCGCATTCTTTTCAAAATATGTAAGCATCATAGAATACTTTAGAAATATGCATATACAATTTTTGGAGACATATACAAAAAATGTAATTTATCTTTTCTATTTGCAAATTTTTTTTATCTAAAGATTTTTGCAACAAGGTCGTTTCGTAAATTTATTATTATTTCTTATAATCGCGCGAAGCCCGAAAAAATTTACTAGTCATCCATAAATCACGAGAAATATAAACTCATTACCAAAACAATTACAATTTAGACCAAAAAGAATACTTATAATTACAATAAAATTTAACTTAAATTCTTGGGCACTTACATTCTAGATGCGACGAACTGATGCACAATACACAGTATAGTTAACTAAGACAATAAAAAATTTCATGGCTATGGAAAAACCGAAATAAATAAATTAATAAAGCTCAAATTTTAAGAACGGTAAAAGCCAAAGGAGAAACACAATTTAATATCGAAAATTAAACCTGATAAAAAGCTAGCAGCGATTGAGAAATTCGTGTAATGGTGATCTCTTAAAGAGGTTATTTTAGTTTTCGATCATTGCTGAACTTCTTTTATACATGCCATCCGCTAACCCTAATTTAAAACCAAAAAACTAATTTATATTAGGAAAAGTTTATACATAGTGAAATAAGGAAAGATTTATTAACCAAAATTTAGTTGATTTTAAATTTATAAATTGGTAGAAAAAAACTTAAATGACGATTTTGTCCAATGTGAAATTTATTTTTAAAGGATAAAAATGGCGAACGACATTTCGTTAGAGACCTTCATGCTTTTAATGCGCAAGTTCCCCGTCTCAATGAATAGTATTTTGTAAGAAAATTATATATATTTTAAATTATGTTTGAGTTATAAATAAATTATAAGCTGTTGAAATTGATGACTATTGATCCTCTATAACTAATACAATAAAAGAAAAACTTTGTTCATAAAAGTCCTCAAACATTATTCAATATATTCACTTTTAATTATGTTCCAATTTTATAGTTTTGTCATTTTAATTTCACGAGTTATCGTGCTTTTTTGTTAGTTTCAATAAGAATGCATAACTCTTGAAGATTTAAGATTATTTTAATTTTTTAAAAAGCTATTCTCAAGTTCATTCGAGAAGACACAAACAAGGTATAGACTTTTATTTTGATTCTTTAAACATTTATAGAATAACATATTTTAAAAATATAAATCATATGTTTTCTCAATTTATATCCGTTCAAAGGTTTCGATATTCTCCATGTAGTGAGGTTTTAATTTTAAAATAAACATAAAAAAAGAATTTATGATTTATATAACTTTGTTGAAACATGCGTGGGCATTAAAACATAAGTTATAGGACGAACAAATACTATAAAAACTTATTGAATTCACTAATTGTGTTTGTGCACATATTAATTTAGATATATATAAAATTCATTTGAAAGTCCTAAATATTTGGATTTCCTACATAGTTCCCATAAAAAAAATTAATAAGCAAACTTTTAATTAATTTTAAAGTCTTAAATATTTATAAATTATTTATATTACATTTTTATTCAATATAAAATTTATTTTTAAAGGATACAAATTTAATTACATTTTGTGTTGAAGTTTTGTGTTTTTATTATATAAATTGAGGCTTGTACTAATTAATATGATTATATAAGGCATCAAATAATCATTTTGGGTGCTAATTTGAACATGGATTAAATATTTTATTTGATTAAAATAAGAATGTTTAAAATGCATATTTGATTGTTTCACGTTAAAACAATTTTAGCTTATACATTATTATATTAAATACTTTTAACTTAATATATGATTTTATGTTCCCATATTTTAAGCTTTTGATTGAAAATCATTTGAAGTCGCCATATAAGAATGTGCACATTAGAAAGAAATTATGTTCAATTAGTATAACTTATATAAGGTAAAATATTTATTGATTTAAATTCCTAAATATTAGATTTTCTTACCTAATTTAATACGGAAAGGTTTAATATAAGCAAAAGTTTAATTGATTTCAAAATCCTAATTATTAGGAGAGTAAATTAAATTACAATTTTGTTCACTATAAAAACTATTTTTAAAGAATAAAAAAGGCAAACAATATTTTGCTAATGAACTTTATACTTTTAATATAGTATAAATATAAATATAAATATAAATATAGAGAGATATAGACTTAGATTATAGTTTTTATTATATAGAGATTGAAGTGGTGCCTAGCTCCTCCATCGTAATGATTGACAAAGAAAAAAAAGTAGCAATTTTATAAATTAGTATACGAGTTACAAATACCAATAGGGTAGATATGTGAGAAGAGGAGGGAGGGGTGGGTAATAGGGATCCGTAATATGTTGGAAATGGAAGGATAAGGGAAGTCATTATGCACAGCGTATATAAACGCAACGAACCCTGAACTGAGGTTCCCACATCTTCAATCAGACAAAACATATTAGTATATCTTCTTCCTTCGGGGCTCCATCCTGTTTAATATAAACTCATCAGATCTGTATTGATCATCGCAAAAGCTTTAATCATGTAAGCTAATTCATCATTTTTCTTTTCCTTTTTTTGTGATTCAAACGTATAATTTGAAAATAATTTCTGAAATTTTGAGCTGTTTGTTATACGATCAGGAAATTAAAGGATCGGAGAAAGTTTCATTCCTGAAACGCAGACTCAATCACTCGCTATGTAAGTTTCTACTTTCTGGTGCTAATTTCTCTTTATTGATTTTTTTTTTTAATTTATAAATTTCGAATAGTTATTGTGTGTGAGTTAATTTCTGATAAATTGAACACCTTTAGCTCTTTTGGATTTTGGAAGTTCAACTTTTGAAGATTCATGTTAGTTAGTTTTAATGTTTTTCAGCTCGGAGATTGTTCTTTTTATTTACTACTATACGTATTTTTTATTAGAGTTATTAGAATCCTATCTATGAAAAGGAAAGTGTTTGCTTGGGGGAGAAAAAATAACTCTAGCGTAATCTTGTACACCTTTTATTGTGGATCTTGAAAATGTTGTTAAGGCTTAGTTCAGGTGGTGTCTCTGTAAAAGTAGGCATTTGTCAATTTTTATCTCAGAATATGTTAGTATTGGGTTTGAACTGAACCATAGCCATAGGAAACTGAACCATAGCCATAGGAAAACAAGAATGAGAGGATGAAATCTACTTTTTTTTATAACTGAGAAAATGGTCAGAAAGTTTTGGGTGGAATCATTGGGATTTTCAAATGCAGTAGTTTCCTTTTTTACTTTCCTAAGTTCATATCTGTTGGAGTAGTTAAATTGATTCAACTGAAAGGACACATGTGAAACAAGTGATTTCCCTTTCCTGGCCAGCAAATCCATAAACTCTGTCCAGTTTCTTCTTGCATTTTTAGCATACAATTATCTGCTAATTTTTTAACTTCATACAATTGTTTATCTTAAATTCTTCACATTCTCTGGTGGGATACAAGTATAACTTTCTGTTAGCTTTTTCACAGGTTCTCCTGATCATCTCGCTTGGCTCTGCACTTTATCTGAGGGTTTAAGGACCTATATTCATCCTATTCGATGGCTGATAGCCGGAATGGTAATGTCAAG